CATTAACATAAATGTATGTATGTATGTATGTATGTATGTCTCCATATACATATATATGTATATATATATATATCTCTTATAAGAAAAGGCATGTTGGAGGGAGGGGAGTCTTGGAACGAGCACAGAATGACTCTTCATTGGGAGAATAGGAACTGAGCCTGGCCTTTCTTTGTCAGAGCAATGGGAATTCCCAAGGGATTTCGCCGTTAAACAGGGTTTATGGGAGTTCTTGCGGTTTAGATTCCCATTGAGAGTCCGTCGGGCGCACAGTTTCCACCCAAAACCCAAAACCCTAAACCGTGTGGATTAGTGAGTTTGGACTCTCCTCGCCATGATCCGTACGCCTATACAGCTAAATCTTCCTCAGATAGCCTAGAGTACGATGCCTTCATAGCTCCCACATCAAACAACAAAGAACTATAACCCCAGCTAACATCTAAACCCTAAGCCTTAAACCATAAACCCGAAGGCCTCAGCCCTACAAGCAAAACTCTAAACCCTACGTGTATATATGTATATATATATATGTATCTGTCTATCCATCGCGAAACCCTATATAATCCCAATGTGCAACCTTATGTAATCCAAATGCGACCCTATATAATCCCAATATAACCCCAATATGCCGATTCTACCCACCTGCTACCCTGGAGCCTAGACCAAGAAAGCCCTCTCAAAAGTCCAAGCCCCAGCTGCCTTGCAGATCGCCATCTCTGCGACCGAGTTCCCTCAGCCTCCAGCGACAACAGAGACGGAGGTATGGCAACGAACTCCCATAAACAGAGGGTTTTCAGGGTCTGAGGTTCAATTAAAGGGCTGCAGGTTCCGGGTTGAGGGTTCAGGAAAAGTACTTTAGAATTTGTGGCGAAGGTTCAGGGTTCAGGGTCTAGGATGTAAGGGGTTTAGGTTTAGGATTCGGGTTTACGGGCTCAGTGCTTAGGGTGTAAAAAGTCTATTTAGGTTTCAGGTCCAGGGTTCAGAGTTTATTGAGGGTCAATGTTTTAGGGTTCAGGCCGCGAACAGGTACTGGCAGAATTGGTTCATGCTTCTTCTGATGGCCCCACTAGTTTTCGTATGGTTGCTATTCTTGTCCTTATTACTAATGCGGTTATGGTGGCGATTATTATCAGCATCATGCTTGTACTCTTTCATCGTCGTCACGGTATGAACATGAGCTGTGGTCATGATCAACATGAAAGTAGTAGGCAGTATATTCCATTGTATACTGTTACATTATTACTGCACTGCTATACTGGTGCTACTACATCAGTACTTTTTGTCATTATACGACTGAACTATTGCTACTGCATTACTATTCGTGTTATATAGCTACTGTTATTGCTGTCAAATGATGCTTCCGTTACGGCTTGCGATAGCAATGTGCCCGAAGTTTGGCGCCTGTCCTTTGCCAGCAGCCTGGTTGGAAGGTGCACGAAATTGCCAGCAAGCCTGTGTATGATGCAGCTGCCTAAGTTGGGCTTTCATGTCCAGATTGTTTAGATCTTTGTGTTTGCTCTTGCAACTCTAGGCCGCGACGGATACCACCACATTCAGCGTGAACTCCAGCCTTGCTTTCCGCCACTTCGCTGGGGTGGTGGACAGTGGTGGACTCAGCGTCCATCCGGAAGTTCACAATCAGTGCCCTGACAATGCAGATTATGTAGCAGGGGCAGTATCGCACAGTCCTGCCACAGGAGGGCCATATGATAATTTCGCACGTGGGTCAACATGAAAAAAGGGGTGTCACAGCTGCGCACGGCAACCCCCCTTTGCAAGACCAAACGTGGTCACACGCAAGATCCTTGGTGTCTTCGTGGTGAAGCAGTCTCTTGACTTCAGTCTCGACAGTGGTCATGAATTCGGCTGTGAACATATCAGATTACAACCTTTCGTAGGATGACAAGAACAGAGCACGGTACATCTGATCATAATATAGTAGTTGCCTTTTTCTTTTCCATTATCCCTATATAATCCTGTATTACCCCTGTATAACACCTATATATTCCCTATATACCCCTTACATATCCCCTAGATAGCCCCTATGTATTCCCCCATCTTGTGGCTTGGTAGTCCCTCCTAAACCCTAAAACCTGAACCCTCCTAAACCCTAAACCCTAAACATGCAGTTTCCGCCCCTTCTTACCCTGCTGGGCAGTGCTCAGTTTGAGACCAGGCCAAGACGTGCTTTAGACCTGCTGGGTTTGCTGTGTTCACCCTACCATAATAGATTGTAATCTACTATACTATACCACAGTGTATTAGAATATATTAGAATATACCATTATATACTATAAAATACCATAGTGTATCATAATATATTAGAACATACCATAATGTACTATGTACTAGAATATACCAGCGTCAACCATTTAGTACAGTCTTTGCTCCACACCCCAGACGGCTGGCCTTGATTCGGAGACCCTGGCAGCATGCCAAGACATCCATCAAAATATGCACTTTGTTTTTCTCGCTATAGAATCCCGGTGTTATGACTGGAGCATCACGTATAACATACTCTCTGTTTAAATGAAGTGATGCGAGTTGGGATTTCCAACCAGGGACTACGGGTGGAGCGCGCAATGACGATTTTTTAAGGTCCCTTTTTTATGTTAGTATAGTAGAGCCGCAGCACAATTCCATGTCCCATAAACCTTAAACTCTCAAGCTCAAATCCTACATCCGAGCCCAAACGCCTTAAATCTCAAATCCAAAATGTAAACCTCATGTGGTTGCCCAGGCAGTGACGCAAACACGCAGTGGCCGCAACCAGTGCTTGCAGCCTCTGTGGCGCTTCTCGAGGGCCGATCCAACGTACCATCGCTCAGCTTACCGTTGGGTTTAGTTTTTGGTCCAGGGTGGGCCCAGCATTCACGGCTAGGCTTGAGGGTTTACGGTGTTGGGTTTTGAGTTTAGGATTGAGGGTAAGATGTAGGGATGCTTTGGCCATTGTTCAGGGGATGTCCCAAGATTTATGTAATTATGTAGATGTAGATGCGATAGATACAGTACTGGTAGTCCCCAGGACTTTCAACCTCAACATCTTTCTAACCTCTATCCTTCTAATCGCCTTCAACTGTCCCTCATATCGTTCCATCCTTTCAACATGTTGCTTGCTTGAAAGGACCTCACCAAACCTTGCTTTTGTGACTGGTGTCTTTTTTTCAGGATGTGCAGGCCCTGCACCGGTGTTAGATGGTCATTGTTCAGGTGGACTCCCCAGCCTGTAATAGTGGAAAAATGGAGTATAGGAGTACCCAAATATAATCACGATTATCCCTTAAACTCACAACTACAGGGTGAGGGTCCATCTGAGTGATTGTGTATGTCTTTTTACGTTTTGGCTTGGCAGCTGGTTGGCCTAGTAGTGCTCGGAAGCTGGTAGCAAGGCGTGGCGCGTAAAGGCTTGCGTCTTGCGACTGACCGTGGTGCGCACCATTTCAGTGCGGCAGATGTCATCCTTGCGGGTGCGCGGCAAGGTGGGGTGGGGTTTCCAGAAGCACCCGGAGACCAAAAAAGGTGGTCTCTGTCAACAGCTGCCCTCAGGTCTGACTTCGCATGCTTGCCTGGATGTTGATTTCCTGTATGATTTAAAACCTCCTCCACCATCCTCGGCCGCTCAGTCTTCGGTGCCTCCTCCGCCACAGCCTTCGATAGGGGAGTCAGAAGAGAACGAGACAACTGACTGCGAAAACTGGAATGATTACAGCGGTTTTGATGAGTGAAGCCGCAAGCTATCTGGCAAGCATGGACGGCATGCAGGTCGCAGCATGGTATGCAAGTGCTGCCGCTGTCTGTGGAGTTTTGCCGCAAACCAAGGTGGACATCTCCTCAAAAATGCACGGGCCGCCTAACTTAGGTATGAGCATGATTCATAAATCCAGCGTGCTGCATAAATAGCTTGGGCCCTCAGTAAATATCTATCCCTGTACTCAGATCCTAAAAACGGTTCGGCGCTGGGCATCTAGCTCTGAAGCGTTTGAGATCTCACGGCCGCCGGAAGCAAATCGAGGTTTCTCAACCTTTATGATATGATATCGGTTCCTCCTTTTGGAGGACCCTCAAGAAGATATTGAGAGACACGTTGCGTTCAGAAGCCTTTAAAAAAGCAGTAGCCGGCTACCTTCAAAATTCGTGCTTACAGCCTGAATTCTGCACCCACCCCGATTTCAGCCTAAAACCCGTATGCGAACATTTTTGAGGAGAGGTCTTGAAGTGCTTTAGGCTGGGCCTGCATAAGCTGAGCCACTCCCGGAGCCTTGTTTCAGCGGAAAATGATGCAGGATGTTGGGTTTAGGGTTTAGGGTTAGGGGTATATATGGGTCTATGGGGGTTACTGAAGGATGATGGAGAAGAAAATGGAAGCTACTGGGATGTTGCGCAAAGGGCTCTAAGTTTCAGGGCGTAACGCATGAAACAATTACCACCATCATTCTCTCCTAGTCCTAATGATGTGAGAATAGACGGTGGACATCATGGAGATTGTGCAGGTGTATGTTGTCTGTTTACGGACATGGAGGGTAGGAATTTTCGGGCCTTGAAGGATATCATTGGAATGTTGCATAGGAAGGATTGCTCGAGCTTCTTGTGTGGATAGTACAGGCTCGTATCTACATGATACAGGGCTTGCATACAGATCATCAGAGAGAATAGAGGCGCAATTTGCCACACAAGTCATTTCCAATGGTGATCTTGTCGGTGGAGTACACTAGAACCCCATAGGAGACCCAAAAGGCCGTGATATTGGGTTTAGGGGTTTAGGGGNNNTTATGTAGAGATCATATAGGGATATAACCTCAATCGTTACCCAAAGTGCTCTACTCCATGAGCTCCTCAGGTCCTGGCAACCTTGGCTCTGTCATGGTTCAGTGCCAGGTGCTAGGTTGAAATGCCCCCCCCCCCCCCGG